TCTTTCCCAGGTGAGTCCAGTACCTGCCCTCCCCAACCAGTAATCCCCCCTCCCCCACAAGACAGACTTCCCCAGACAGGGCTTTAGTGCTACCTCTTTATTGACAAAAGAATCAGCTACATCATCACCCACCAGTGCGCCCAGTAGAGACACCAGTCTTTCTGGGAATGTTCCTATGTCCCCAGCATGGACACTGCTCTGTACTGGAATTCCCCAGTTGCAACCCAGTGGCCCCAGTACAGGCACTGGTCTATACTGGAAATTCCCCAAGTCCCCAGTATGGACACTGATCTGTATTGAATACTCTCAATTCCCCTCAGGGAGTCCAGGACAGACCCATCTGTACTGGAACCCCACCTCCCCAATGAGCCCAGTACAAGCACTTGTCTGTTTTGGAATGCTTCCATGCCCCTAGTACGGACACTGGTTTGTACTAAAATGACCCCAGTTCCCCCCCAGTGAGTCCAGGACAGGCACTAGTCTGTACTAGAACCCTCCCAATTCCACCCCAGTGGACCCAGTACAGGCACTGGTTCATACTGTGGGCCTCCAACAGAGAGAAGGAAGGGGGGACACTGACTACCTCAAGCCCTGGCTGTGGCTGAATTTGGGGTGGGGCAAGCTCAGGGAGCAGCCACACAGGCCATCTCATCCGCCAGCTCATCCTCAGCTGGGGGCCGTGGAGGCTCATCATCACTGTACAGGGCACTGCCAGGGGCCTCAGGGCCAAAGGGCCCCCCTGGGGCCAGGCGCTGGCCCAGCAGGTCACAGGCAGCGCTCTCCATCTCAGCTGGTGTGAGCTGGCAGGCATCTGCAATCTCCCGCTTGGCCACGGCCACAAACTTGGGGTCCCGGGCATAGAGCCCCAGTCCCTCTGAGATCAGCACCTGAGGGGGGGGCAGAGAAATTAGGGGTCGAGAGCCTCCCACAGACTCCTCAGCCCACCCAAGTCCCCATATACCCCCAGCCCTCGTATACCCCCTATACACCCTACTTTGACCCCCCAGATCCAGCCAGATACAGGGGAGAAGAGTGAAATCAGGAACTGAGGGGCACAGCCACCTCAGCCCTGCAACAGCTTCGCATATACCTCCCAGCCCCCCATATACTTTCAGCTTCAACCCTTGCCAGATTCATATTCCCTGCCCCCACCCCCTATGCATCTCCCCTGCCCCTCCCAGAGCAGAGAGGGAACCCAAGCATCCAGGTTTCCAGCTATTCCTCCCTCTGCTGTGGCATGGAACCCAGATGTCCTGACTTCTAAAGTCCCCTGACTTCTAAAGTCCCCCAGGGACCTGTGTGTCCCCCCACCCCAACTCTTCCACCAAGGGCCAAGCCCTGCCCCAACCCCACACACCTAATCAGAGCCAGATTGGGTCTATGCATCCCATCAGTACCCCCACTTATCCCAGCTTGCCCCCAACTCAAACCCTGAACTCTGCCCTGGCCCCCCCATTTAAGATCAGGCCCCATCCCCTGTCCCAGCTTCAAACCCTACCCACAAGATCAGGCCCAGCCCCTTGCCCTGGCCCTATCCCCCAGGATTTGGGCCTCCCTCCAATCCCAGCCCCATCCCCAGGTTTAGACCATGCCCCTGGCCCCACCCTCCAGGACAAGGCTACATCCCCTTTCCTAGCCCCGGCACCTGGATCAGGACCCCCATCCAATCCCAGCTCCACCCTCAAGGTTAGGCCACGCCCTGCCATAGCCCCATCCCCAGAAACAGGCAACACTCCTGCCCTAGCTTCACCCCACAGGGCTAGGCTTCATCCTGCTGTAGCCCCACCCCCCAGAACAAGGCCCTACCCCCAATCCCCCAATATACTGAGAGTATAGGCTGCTGCTCTATACTCACAGCCTCCACCAGGCTGTCAGCACTGTCACGGGCAGCCCCATAGCCTTCCTCCACCAGCAGCAGTGGGGCGTAGAGCAGGCAACCGCGGGCAGGGGGAAGGGGGGCTGCCCATGAATGCAGCCATCCCCCCCCAGGCGGCCCCCCCCACGGCCCTCCATAGCCCTGCAGAGAAGGGTGGCATGATAAGCTGTTACACGGACATGTGCGAGGCACCCCGGGCTGGTCCCATCCCCCCCTAGCACAAGGGCCCACCCCTTTGCATGAATGTGTGGAGCTGCCACCTCATAGCATCTCGCACAGCAGGTGTGGCTGGATGTCCTCGCACCAGGCCTCCTGCCTCTCACAGACCTGCCACACACGATTCCTTCCCCCCTGTACCTGTGTGAGGGGCTGGTAAGAAGGTGGGGCCTGGTGGTACGTGCCCGGAATTGGCAGGTCCTCACAGCTCTCCTGGCGCCGCAAGCACTGGATAGCGAAGGCAGGCTTCTGGCCTGGGGAAGAGTGGCCCCATCCCCTGGCTCAGGCCCTGCCGGCAACCAGCCCTGGGTCTGCCCTCACCTGACCCGCCCCCTGGGTAGCTCCCTGGCCCCACCCTCTTCCTGACCCCCCAGCCCTCCCCACCCAGCAATGTAGCCCCATCCATTGAGCCTCTGGTCTACTCAGGCCCCACCCACCCCTCACCCTTTTAGCTCTTAGCCATGCCCCACCAGCCGCACCTCTCTCACACAGCCTTGCCTGTCCCCTCCTCCCCCAGACCCTGCCCCTCTCCCTGAGACCCCACCTCCTCCTTCACCTGCTGGGGTGGGAGGCAGGAGCCGTCGGCGCTTGCCCATTTGCTGAGGGGGCAGGGAACACCCAGAGGGTGGGACCCAGCGTCGTTGGCGGAGAGGAGGGTCCTCCAGGCAGGACTGACTGCAGACAGATATAGGGACATTGGGGTATCAGCCACTACCCCAAAATGCTTTGTACCCAGGTTATTGTCTAGCCCCCACCATGCCCCTTCCAAGAGTCAAGATGTGAACCCAGGTATGGGGTGGGGAGGGGGGTGCAAGGGAGGACAGAAAGCCACTTCCTGTCCTAAACAGGATGCAGGGGGGTGTTCTAGGCAGCTGCCCCCTCCCAAGAGCTGAGCACACCAAAGTCTTCCTCATGGGATGTTAGACTCAGCCATTCCCCAGCTGCCCCACCCCAGAGGTGGGTGCATCTGGAGCCTCACTGGTTCCAGGAGGTCTGGCTCTCGGAGTCCTCATCCCGGCTGTAGAAGCCCTGCTCCTCTGCTGTCTCCTCACTGTACTCCTTCAGGGTGGGGGGCTTCTCCGGTATAGTGGGGG